TCTCTCTCTCTCTCTCTCTCTCTCTCTCTCTCTCTCTCTCTCTCTCTGTCTGTCTGTCTGTCTCTGTGTGTGGTGGCTGTGAGAGAGTTGTTGTTTCGAATAATTTTCGTAGTTTAAGTTTTATCTTACAAGTGCTGGCGAGAACGATGGTCGATGCGTACCATCATCATCAATTCAGTGTGTGTTCACGGGATGACGAAAATTGCGAGCACACGAGCGAACAACGATAGAAAAATCATTGTAAGTTTTACTTGGAAATGAACCATGAACCGAACGATGCATGAATTTCTCGAGCAAAACTGGCAGACAATATTGAGAGAGGGATTGAACTGCGTGTATTTGCTGAGAGTTCAACGAACCAAGACATCCGGATTCCTCGATTCCCTACAACATTCTATCGCCTGCACACCAACAGACACACATACATACGCACACGGTGAACCCGAACGAGCCTTACAGTACAGTTGTGAACTCATTCTCGATGTGTCTTTTTGTTTTTTTGTTATGATTGTTAATGTTGTTTTTGGGGTGAAAATGCTTCCGATTTTGATCTACGTCAGCAATTCACACGCGCGTCTCACTAGCTGTCGGTAGTTGTTGAATGTTTTCTTTTTTCTCTCTTTTTTGTTCTCAAGTCTTGAGTGTAGAGTGTCAAGCCAAAACGGCAGAAATGGAAAATTGAATTTTCATCAAATGGTAATGCACTTACAATGGCATCATTGACTAAATTCATTTTAAATAGGGGAGAAAATTGTTTCGGTCATGCACACAAATCGATATTGCACACCAGAGCAGCTCTTACTCGGGATTAGAGAAACCGATCTAAACAAATAAATAAATAAACACACACATACACACACAGATTTCGAATATTTAGATGGATTCATAACAATTTCGATGTGCTGATTTATTCCAAGCAACACATAGCACATATTATTATTTTTTGCTCGCATTCATCGCTCGTTTTTTCAGGTCAATCATGTTTTGTCGGCAAGCTTACGGTATACAGCGCACGGAGTGTGCTTCGAAAAGTGATCTGAATACGGTGTGTGTATGTGAGTGCGAGCATGTGTCTTTTATATTCTACGTTTCAGCTGTAAATCTGAATTCCATGGCAGCACAAAAAAAAACTCAACTTGGCTTGTTGTTTAAAGCGCAGGCATATACATAGTACTCAGCGAGAGCGCACAGATACGATATATGACCGATGTACGAAGCTGAAAACAAGAAACAGATTCGAAAGAAGAGAAAAACGAAGAAAATATCAAGAAAAATAGTGATGTTTCGTTAGCAATTAGCCCATTTAGTATTCGGTTTTTTTTTTCAACTTGACTATGAATATTTTGTTTTCTCTCTTGTCAATTCGGGCTCAATCGCGTCATTCGCGCACATTTAAATTCGGACTATGGAGCCGCTGCTGCTGCTGCTGCTGCTGTGATTGTTAATATTGAGACGCGCGGCTCTCGTTTCGGCCCGAACACCAATCGACTCGCTCCATTCCGAACAACCCAACGAATCGCATTTCGTATACATGTTTGCTCTTTGTACACAGAAATTTGAATGGAAATTCATGAAACGATCAATATAAATATACTTGAAGTGATGAATGACAGTGACGGGTCAATATTTTCAACACAAACGACAACAGCAACACCAGAAGAAAAAAAATTGCTGTTATTCACTTTGCCTTGGGTCGAATTCTTTTTGCTCGTACTTCTTTTTGCCATACGTGCAACAGCACGTACAGTGTGTACGTAGTCTGTCGCACTCGTTCCACCGAAATTAAAATGGTATGGATTTACTGGAAAATGAAACATGCATTTGACTTTCACGTGGTGTTGACGACTTCATAACACTCATTTATCCCTAGGTTACAGCTTTGCACTTTCAATGTATTCGGCATCGGATTAGCCATAATATACGACAAGCTCTAACAATTGGCCGCTTTTTGCCTCTTTTTTTCTTTTCATAGTTTCGGTCGATGTTTGCAGTGTTTAATCACTTTATTTATAAATATTGTACATCAAAGCGTGATTTATTTTTAAAAAAGGTGAATTCGTGTTTGTGCTTGCACCGCACCACAGCCACGCTTGAAAGTCATCGAAAAAATCCAAAACAAAAGCATGAATTTCAACCATCGAATCCGATCGAATTTGGCTGCTGATGATTTGGAAGTGGTTTTTTTTTCTTTGACTCACGTTTAACGGGGTGATATCGTATTTGTTGGCTTCTGACAACGGCATGAATGATGACCGCAACCGAATCCTAGAAAGCTAAAATGCCACTTTGATTGAAATCGATAAACGGTTTGAAATTGCTTTGGCAACGGGTGAAAAAACTGTGGAAGTACCAGCAGCACTTTATTAATTGGTTCAGCTATAGGAACTCGGACTGTTGTGTAATACTCTTTTTATGAATGAAGGAAAATGTGGTGCATTTTTTAATGATGTTTCTTTTTCTATTCCACTCGCTAATTCGAACTGTGAGCCAAAAAAAAAACGTGAAACGTTTAAAATATGGGTTCGAAGCATGCACCGCGGGCGATATTTATTGAACCCTCGCGTGGATTTTTTTTTTTTGGTCGGTCGTATTTGCCCAAATGGAAACGGGTAAGTCGACATAAATGTGTGTTGTTGTAAAAATAGAAATTCTCTTGGATTTTTTTTCTTTCTTCATAACACATTTTGTCGTCGAAAGGAAATGTCGAGCGAGCAAGAGAGGGAGATAGAAACAGAAAGAGTGAAATTGTGCAGAGACCCTCGAAAGAAAAATTGAATTCAGACACAAACTGAATTGGAATCAGACAATAAAAATTGTAAGTAGCCGAGCAGCATACACACACACACCAAACAATGTAAAAATGAAAGCCCAAAAAACAAAGTGAACAAATGAGTTTTAAAGGAGAGAAGAAAAAACCGCACGGAATTAATTGTTTCCGAAAGCAATACATGACTGTTTTGTGCTATTTATCGCTTTCAATTTTAATATTTAAACAACTGAGAGAGCTGAGCGAGCGAGCGAGCGACAGAGAAAAAAGAAAGAATAAAATTCGTTGCCCAAGTAAAGTAAAGTGAAAAAATATATATATACACAAACAAACAATAAACACAAAATAAAACTTAATATCCAAATGTTAAGCGCTCGGGAAAAAAGTCACTGTGAATAACCGTAAATATGTACATGAATGTATTTGGTATGCTCTTGTCGTCTCGCTCATTGTCGTACTCTTTTTTTCCTCTTCTTTTCGTTTCTTTGTTATTTTTAGACTTCTTTATTTGTCAAACATTACAGTTTTCTACGTGCATTCCACTGTGCATGCTTCAAAGTGATATAGAATATTCAACGCGATATTATGCATAGGCAATGTGAAATTGAATTTACTGGAGGTTATGCTTTAATTTCATATCAAGCCGATCGAATTCACTCGCCGTCACTCTTGTCAGTATTCGCTTTTTCGATTTTTGCTTCTTTTATTCAGTTTTTTTTCTCATAATTTCGTTGCTTCCATCAAGTCCAGCCTCGTTGAACTTGAACTCGTCTCTTTTGAAAAACTTTTATAATAAAATTATTTTTCATAGATTTTATACACACACAGACATTTGCACAAAATAATTACGTTCAGTTCGGCTGTCATTTGATACTTTTTTGAGTGCGAAGAATCAACGAACAGAGAGAGAGAGAGAGAGAGAGAGCACAATTCAAGCGACACCCGTACCCATACTTAACCCAGGAATACCATTTGCTTGCAACGATAAACGAATGCCAAGAAAAATCGAGTCAAGTCTCTCCCGTCGTCGTCGTCATCGTCGTCGAATCGATCGCTGGTATTTCAAATTCTTTTTTTTTCGTTTTGCCTCTATCTTTTTTATTTTATTGTTGTTGTTTCTCATTCGTTCACTGGCATGCATTGTAAATGATGACAAGTTTGTATGGTTTTTTCCTCTCTTGTGTTCTTGTTGTTGTTATTATTGTTTTTTTTATTGTTTCTTCTCTCTTTTTTTTCTTCTTTCGTTTGTACACTGTTGGATTTGGCGTTTAAATGCGTTTTTAACGCTTATGGTGTATGGAATAAAAATTAAATGAACTGCATGGGGGGAATTACTCTAGTTGAAGGTTTTCGCGTTTTCGTGTTCTTTCTTGCAAAGTGTGTGTATGTCATTCGCATTTGTTTGATTCGAAGCGATGAAGGCTACTTGCGACAAATGAACGTTTTCTGTACACATTTTTCATGGTTCCATCGCACATTTTCGGATGAACTTCATTGAACAATTTAAATTGATTATCTGTTTTGGGCCACACACACACGCGCAAACAAAAACCGAGTGTGTTTTTTTTTCGTTTATTTCACTGAATTTTAATTCAAGTAAATGGATTCGACGATCTGACAACAGAAAAATGACCCCATCGTCGTAACACTTGTGCCAAAAACACGCATCCAGCAAACAATGATGAATTACTTGTGTCAGATTTTACTAATTAATTCATTTTTCAACGAGCAATAATTTAAATCGCTGCTTTTATTGTGTTACATAATATGCGCAATTCGTTGTAATAACTGCCGTAGAGAGAGACAGGCTGAGAGGGAGAGGGTGAAAGAGGAAAAAAGAACTCCAATGGATTGTAAGAGAGCTGCAGCCTTTTCAACGCTTTTAAACTCATCAATGTATACAAATCATATCAATTACATTGAATATTAATATTTTTCTCTCTGTTTCTCCGCTTTTTTTCTGTCGTTCTGATGTAAATCACGTCATTAACAGATAAATAGAGTCACAACGAATTCTTTGTAACGCTTAAACGACGAACATTTACAGTTCATTCCGTTGAAATTAGCTTGAAAATTGAAACCAACTCTCTGCGACCATCGTACCGCAAGTTAGTTTGTATTTTTGAAACCAAGAAAAAATTGTATGTTTCAATTTCATTTGTATTTCTTTTTTTCTTCTCTCATTCATTTCTCGTTTCAACTCCGTACAAAGTGCGAGCAGCGAACAGTGAACACTCGCGCTTGTGTTCCCAACAAGTAGGTATCATTCAATTGTAGTGATTTCAGCTGAAGTTGGCATTTTCTCCAATTCGTCGCGTTTCTTTTCATTGTTACAAGAAACAACGGCACATTTTTTTTTGTACCCAATTACAAATCGTTTCGCTGGTTTTTTGTTTCTGTCTTCTGCTTCTACTATTCAACGTCAGTGCTATGTTTTATTGTTGTCATTTTTAGAGAAATACACCGACATCACTTTGCTTTGCATATGAATGCGATTAATCGTCTTCATTTAGGCGATTATGTGTTTGATTGAAATTTTTAATTTGTCAATGTCATTGAAAACGTATCAATTTCATTCGATTTCTCTCATTGTTGCAATATCAGGTCGATTCAATAAGACCCGAATTTATGCAATCTCCACATGTATGCATAAACAGAAAAAAAGAAATAAAACTGAAATCCACATTTTAATTTTCAGTGTCGAGTGGCCGAGAGTAATGCGGATACGTATAAAATCTCCTTTGTCATGGCTCGAGAAAAAAAAAACAAACGCGACCGTGCTCGTTGTGAAATGACCGGCCCATTTAACACAACAAAATCTGCAAATAACTTAATCATATAGTTTTAACAATTTGATGACATTAATATCTCTTCTGTTTTCGAAATGGAATTCCGAAATGCGAAGAGGAGGATCATGCGAGAGAAGTGATTTAAATGAGGAAAATGCACGCTCATTGTTTTACGAGCAACGGAGAGTCTCTGAAAATTTATTTATTTGTTTATTTGATGTGATGTGTTTTTCTGTTATTGTATTTGATTCGTAAAGCTTATTTGACATTTAATAGTTCACTAGCTGTTAAACGTCTCAATTTTTCTGACACACACTGTTGCCGCTTTCAATACAGTTGTTACAAAAATTGCCAAATGCCATAAAATGTGACATTGTTTTGCTTTCGAAATACGTTAACACTGGCAATCGATCGTTTGAATAAACAGAATGAAACAGTCAAACGCATTGTGATAGAATGGGACAGAATGGAGTGGGTGAGAGAAAGAGTGAAAGAGAAGAGAAAAAAAACGTCGAAAAGCAAACAAACAATCGGAATTTTACTAAATAAACGATTGAGCTAATGTAGAATTTTGATTTATTTATCGAGAGACAGAGAATCCATATGCATGGGATTTTATGTTGTGCAAATGACTGCATACGAAACAATCATTGTGCATTTCAAACCAATACCAGAAACACATCATTTTCCGCACTCGTATGTGTTTGTGTGCTCGAGAATTCATTCAGAATATCAACGAACAAACATTGAAGTTTTGGTGTGGAAAATCACCTCGCATGCCAAAAAATGGCTCCAACAACAACAACAACAACAACAGCAGCAGCAGCAGCAGCAGCAGCAGCAAAAACAATGACGATATTTATGCCGTGTGGAAAAAGTTACGTAGAGAAAGAGAGAAAAATCAAAACCGAGTAGCAACTAAACGCAACCAGAAAATACAATAATATAATTTTATATTCAAGCAAACGATTTCACTTTGTGATGGAACGAGAAGAGCGCATTATATTATATTGATATGCATATTGGGTGGAAAAAAAGAAGAAGAAACAGAAGCAATGCGACATGCAGAAAAAAAAAGCTTGAGCTGAGGAACAAAAAAAACTTATATGTTGCGCATATATTTTCCACATGCAGATTTCACAAGCGAAAACAATATGCCAAAATGTACGTTGTGAACATATCAAAATAGCTCTTCGAAAAATCGCATCATCAATTCTCCATTTAGCTTCACCACAATAAAATAAACACTGATGTACAACACAGTTCACTCTTAAACTTCTGGATACCCGTCCCGACACAACACACACATACACACAAAGAGAGAATGTGGATAGCAGCAGCACTAGAAATGGAAAAAAAATGCCGACAAAAAGCTATTATGTATGCAAATGCATTTGTGAGAGCGTTTATGCGTGTGCCAATGAAAAAAAGCGAAGCAAAGTCACAAGCAAAAACGAGAGACAAAGCTAAACCAGCGAGATAACAACTGAATGCACATTGAACAGAGTTATGAAAAGCCAACTGAAATCGTAATTTTTTCCCTTGTTTGCTTGCTGTGTGTTTTTTCTCTCTCTCTCTCGTTCGGAATTCATGGCCCAAAAGCTCAACAAACTGAAGCGCTCACATGATACCCAGAGCCGAAAGGGGAAACAATGTTGGCATTCACTTGATTTTTTGAGCATAAAATTATCTGTGTGCTGCATAAATTGTTTATTACTGCGATTATTGTTGGCTTTTGCTCGCCTCTTTTTCATCATACAAACTTTTCCATGATGAGCAGCGGCTATGACGATACATCCAATTTTCAATTATGTGTGCATTGTTGCTGGGATTGTTATGTGTCGGTGTGGTGTCTGCGGCAGGCAGACGAGCAACGGCAACGATACGCGATGAGGGTGGAAATGGCGAGTATTATATCGAGCGCATGGTTTATGTGTGGCTATGTGTGTGTGTACTGTGCCTCTGCATGTATGTGCAATGTCGTTTTAATAGCTAAAATAATATATTTTTTAGCAGCGAAAATATAAATCGTGTTAATATTTATGTTTTTAAAATAAAAACGATGTTCGGCTAAAGTAGATTTGGCACGTTGTTGTGTCACGTGCGAATAAATCTCGCTGTTCGATCGAAAAGAGTGAGAGAGCGATGGAGAGAGAGAGAGAGAGAGAGAGAGAGAGTGTGTGGAATCGCAACCGGTGCCGCCGGCTCATGTTTTGTGTATTGTGTGCGTTGATTTAGTTTATTATCTGCACTAACTAA